TTTTTTACTGCACCCCCACATCAGGCAGTCTAGATCCAGCCCTGCTACAGGAGATGGTCGGAGACTGCATACATAATACAGGAGATGGTAACAGACTGCAGGCATAACACAGGAGATGGTCAGAGACTGCAGATATGACACAGGAGCTGGTCAGAGACTGCAAGCATAATACAGGAGATGGTCAGAGACTGCAGACATGACACAGGAGATGGTCAGAGACTGCAGACATACTACAGGAGATGGTCAGAGCCTGAAGACTTAGTACAATAGATAGTCAGAGACTAGAGACATATTATAGGAGATGGTCAGAGACTGAAGACATACTACAGGAGATGGTCAGAGATTGCACGCATGCTAAAGGAGATGGTAAGAGACTGTACTACCTCATGTAGTGTCTGATCTCTTATCCCTGTACATTGTCTGCTGAACACTCATAATGGTCCTTCCTGATCACCACAACAGGTCAGTGTCCCCTCGCATGTCATTTGTAATTCACTTACTGCTCTATGTGACATTGACAACAAGGACAGGTTCCAGACTCCTAGCATAGACTGAGAAGAGGGTGGAGTGTTTCCCCCCTTTAGCCCCACTGGTCATAGCCCTGGATGATAGGGGGCGGAGTGATCGACTGTTAAGATATTGTGGAGGTCAGGTGAGGGTGAGTCAGGAAGCAGTTGGTTGGGACTCAGGACAGCTGACAGAGCACTGAGCCAGCCGGGAGATTCAAGCTGAGTTGAGAGAGAGACAGGCATGTAACCTCCCAGACCTGCCTGCTGCCATACAGCCAACTCCATCCCTGTTTGTAAAAACAAAGTCCAGAAAAAGCTGCAGAAAACTTTGCATCTTTTCTTCCTCCATGCAGAGTGAGACAGAGCATGTGGGACCCCCTGCCCTTGGGGCCCGTGGGAAACGAACTCCCTACACACATGGATGATATGTCACTGGGTGTATCCCATATAAACTTACCCCACTCCATGAGTCCTAATTTATTTAGCAAGCAATGCAGAAAAATAAGGAGAGTTTAGGGAGGAAGGCCTATGTCCTGTACTGTACTCAGATATGGAGGTTACTGGTAAGTCAAAATTCCTCTTATCCTAATTGCACAGTATAGGACATAAGCAACTTATTCATACAGCATGGGACATCTCCAAGCAATGATTACAAGATTGGACAACAACTGGGTAAATGCAACTGTGCTAAAAAAACAACCTAATGTGGCAGTGTGCTGCCCTGAAATGGGGTAAAAAGTTCATAAGCCAGGATTCTCATCCAGGCAGGTAGAGGTGCTCCAAGGGGCTTATGTCATTCAGAGGAAACGGTTTGGGACCTGGAGCCCAGAGATTTTGTAGAGATCTGGGAGGGATGAAATCTCCAATCCTTGGTCCGTCTTTAGTGAATAACACAAGTGATTGGGCGGGTGTGTGCTAGGCTTTTAGAAGATACCTGACTATGGTTCTGGGCTCCACCCCAGCAGACAGAGGAGGTCTCTGCCAGGAGTCAGGAGAGTTCCACCTAAGAGAGAGGTGGGAGACAGAGGACCTAAAGGGTAAGGCTAGAGCAGCAGAACTGCAGGTGTAACCCAGGAGAATGAATGTCTATTTCTTTGCAAGAGAGAAATAATAACACCTGTTGGGAAACTTATTGATTTTGATTTCTGGAACTGTGATGAATTTTCTTTTTTTTTTTAAATGGGCAATAAAAGCCCCTAAAAAAAAGAAGTGGCTGGCTGTGTCATTAAAAGCTCTATCATTTACAGTGTGATATCGCATTAAGTTGAGTGCTGCTGCAAGAACCTTCAGCTGAAAGCTGCATTTTCATAAGATTGGACATCCACCTGGTAAAACTTTAAAAAGTAAGAAAAGAAGGCCTTAGAGTTGGGCAAGAGAGACTTGCTTCCTAAAGGCCCAGAATACTCGAACAGACCTGAAGAGGATTTTTGTTTTTGAGCATAGGCTCTTGTAATGAAATTCAATATCCACCGGACAATGGTGGATTTTGAAGCAGAGTTTCCCTTGCAAGGTCCAAAGAAAAGAACAATCAGGGAATCAGTTTTTATAAGGGAAGCAAAAACTTTTAAGTACACTCTAATAATGCTGATTATGTCCAGGCAATTTTGAAAGACTTCCTTTGGATGTTTAAGAACCTAGCACAAGAATGGAAGAACAAAGTCCTCATTAAAATAGAATATTGAAACCACCTTTGGAAGAAAGAATAGTCTTGGGCGTAATACAACCTTTTCATTGTAAAGAATATAGAAAAGCTCCTTACAGGAAAGGGCTGCCAGTTCAGAGACATGTCTGACAGATGTGATGACCACCAAAATGTATACTTTGTTGACAAGAATCTCTAAGATAATATCCCAGATTGTTTCAAAAGGTGGTTTTTGCAAGGCAGAGAGAACCAAATTAAGGTCACAGGGAAGCATGGAGCACTGCAAGGGGGTCCTGACACAAGAAATACCTCGGATAAAGGCAATGTGAAGCCAAAGACCCTTGATAAGGATTGGTAAGGCTGATATCTTTCAGGATGCTAAGAGCTAGATTCTGGTGAAGACCTGTTTGCCGAAAGGACAGAATGTGAGGCACAGAGTAATCTCTGAATTGACTGCTCTCACACCAGGAGGTGTACGATTTCTAAGTACAATATTAAATCTTCCTGGAAGTAGCTTTTCTTGCTTTCAGCAGGGTAGGAATCACAGACTCAGAAACACTCCTATTTTTTAACACCTTGGTCATGCAATTAAAGCCAGGGACTGTGAAACAGAGTGCAGTAGATGGCCCTGAGATAGCAGATCTGGTCTGTTAGGACAAGGCCAGGGATCACCTGCTGGAAGTCTGAGTCTGATATCTGTATACCAGTGTCTCTGTACACAGTGGAGGGAAGACATAAACTAGCCTGAACCGTGACCAGGAGATAATTAGAGCATTCAAGGCTGGAGCTAAAGGGTTCCCTGATTCTGGCAACAATCAGAAGTAGCTTGTTGTTGTATCTGGAGGCTAGGATGTCCACATCTGGAGTCCCTCATCTTTGGCATATCAGATTGAACACATATTGGATGAAGAGACCATTCCCATTGGTCCAAGTGGCGGCAGAGATAATCCACCTGCCAGGTGCCCACTCCTTGGATGTGGACTACAAAATTAAATGTAAAGTGAATTTCTGTTCATGAGAGAATCTGGTTTGCTTCCTTCAAAACAGTCAGGCTCCTCATGCCTACCTGATGGTTGATATAGGCATTGTCTAACTGCATCCAAACTGGGTGATTACTTAGAAGGGGGTTCCAATGTTGGAGGGAGAACCTGACTCCTCTGAGCTACAAGATGTTGCTGGTGAGGTTTTTTTTTTCCTCTCTTGACCATGTTCCCTCAACTGTCAAGAATTGGAAAACTCTTCCCCAGCCTGATAAATTTGAGCTTGTTGGACGAATTTAACTAAGAACTTAAACCTAGAACATACACAGTGAATCTCACTGTGTGAATTCTCTCAGATCTCAGTTATTAAGCATGAGCTTCTAGAGATATAACCTTTTTTTTTGGAAGAAATACTTTTGCTTAGGATGTATCTAGAATCAGAACCAAGTATTCTAGTGCAGGGAAAGTTGGAAAAACAGACCTTTTTTAAACTGATCACCCATCCAAAGGCTTGAAGCAGTTGAAATGATTTTTGGACATTTACTGAGAGTTGCAAGGGAGTTGAATGCTTTGAAAGAAGGTTGTGGAAGAAGGAAGTTGTGCATGTGATCTGTTTGGTAAGCATACTGTCTATGAAGAAATAAATTATGCATTTAGTGCCAATTAAAAAAAGAACAAACATAATTTTGATGAAACAATAGTTATCCATATAATATACTGTATTACAGTATCGACATTATTATGATAGTACTGCTCATTCTATATGCCCCCCCAAGAAAAAAAAATCTGCATCGGGATCAAGTATCATGGAATGCCAGAGTTTCATCATATATGTTTTTGAATTTTAAAGCAAATCTTTTTTGTGGGCCTGCCATTGCCTATCTCTTACCATTAAGATTGGTATCACCTACATGGGACAAGTAAGCTTATCTGTAAAGTCCGATATCCTTTTTGTTAATGTTGAAGCACGAAAGTACACCACAGCCAAGTAACAGCCTCCATGCCCTCATCAGGAAAGGTTTCCTTTAGTGCCAGTTCACATTATTGTGATGCGAGAAACCGCAAGTGATTCAGACAGGAATCGCATCTCATTCCTGTTTAAATCACATTTGATTCTTTGCAGTGAGATTTAAGCCATTTATTTTTTATGGCTCAATTTGCACCACACCCGCAGGAAATGTGCATGAACCTTTTTTTTTTTTTTTTTTTTAAGTGGCATCGGATTGTATGGGTGTTCACACCCATGTGATCTGATTTACCTAATCGTACTGCATTCTGCAAACCTTTTTGGGGTGTTGTTAACTTAACATAGACACACGCAGCAGTTTGCATGAATGGACTGCGCATCTGATGCAATGCAGAAAAAGCACAGAATTTGCTGGGAATCCCGCAACGCATCAGTGTGAACCAGCCCTTAAAGTTCAAGTCTGGATGAAAAAAAATACCTATGCAATACCTCTCTGCAATAAATTCATATTTTCCCTAGGTTATCCCTTTAAAGCTTCTGCAAGTACAGAAAATTGCTCCTTATCTGCCAGAAAAAAACTCCGCTCATCATTTTCTCTTGTGGCATGACACCACATACTTTTTTAGGACTGAAATTGCAAGATTTGGTGTCAGCCTTGCCCAATCATCTGTTGCTAAACCACAATTCTCCTAATCTTCACAGCATAGAGACTGTTCTGTAGTGCAAGTAAAGAATTTGGTGGAATCCTTGTGATAAAACAAGAAGTGTGCACATGACAAAGCACAGCTTTAAATTTTTTGCACAGTGTTCTTTTTTTGGGGGGGGAAGGGGGGGCACTTAACAGACAGATATAACAAAATGCTTTCAATGGTATGTTTAACATTGGAAGCAAATAACAGAAGCAGGGGCGGACTGACCATTTGGAAACTCGGGCACCGCCCGAGGGCCCGGGGTCAGTAGGGGGCCCCATGAGATGCCCCTGGTACCTTTTTCATAGGCTTTTTTGAGTTTGGGCAAGGACACAGGGGCCCCATGATGCCCTATTGCCCAGGGGCCCCATGAGTTGTCAGTCTGCCCCTGAACAGAAGTTGATTGTTAAGGTTTACGTACACTTTAAGTTCATACTGTATTTGGTTTGGTCAACATAAATGTGTGGACAAGGATATTTAAAGTGGTTGTAAACATCAGACATGAAACAAATGAGCAAAGCAATCCCCCTATAGTGTGTACTTGTCTCAGTTAAGAGCTTTAAGTGTCATTTCTGTCTGCTTCTTCATTCCTCTGTTATCAGCACAAATTACTTCTGACAAGTTTTCCTGACACCAAGAGAAACATGGTGACAGGGGAAGGACCTCCAACAGATTGACAGCCTCAGCTCTGTTCCTGTAAGCTGTGTGGAGGGGTATGTCTTTTCCTTCCAATCAGCTCTCAGAACTCTCCTCACTAAGCTCTGCAGCGTGTAACTTGAGCTCTCCACCCCCTTTTTCCTTAACTCTTAGACAAGCTTTATAAATTCAGCACTTGAAATGGATGTAGAGAAGAGAAGACAACAGATAGACAGGTACAACTTATGTAGGAGGATTTGTTTCATCTCTGTGTATCACCTGGGCTAGTCATGTCACTTTTCACTGGGTATACTGTATGTAAGGGTTTACAATATATAAAACTGCATATATGACCTCCCTAGATTAACAGTTAATATAATTGTTTATTCTGTATTACCTGCTATCTATGTCTTATTTATTCTGTATCATTCTGTCAGACGCACTTGTCTGCATCAAAGGTGCAAAAAACTGTCATACTTCATTATCAAAACACCCTTTCCCTTCCTAAATGATCATCTGTGCTATTGTCTTGGGAGGCATTTAGAGGTGCAGAAGGGCATTTGCATATATCATTGTGCCTTCATCAGTAATAACAAATATGACTGCCTCTATGTAAGTATACACTTACAAACTATATAAGGATTTTAAACAAACTGATGAGATCATATTAATTGACCTCATGGCACGCACATGTAATTAAAAAAATATTAATAAAATGAAATATCTCTATGTTTACTGTAGTTTCAGTGGTCATCTCTAAGCAGCATACATCCATTTAGAGATGAGACAGCAGTGATTACTTTGTTATCTTACAGATTGCAAAAGAAGAGCCATTTAAATAGAAATAGGACATCCCGGACCAGAGGGAACCATCTGCTTTAAACAGATGGAGGGGGGTTATTAATGATATGTTATTAGAAGGAAGGAGAGGTTGGGGACAAAGCTAATAGAGAGCAGAAAAAGGGACAGGTGAGCTGCAATGATGGAGTGAGGTAAACAGTGGAAAACATCCATTATTGCAGAGAAAATTGAGTTTTGACATAGTGTCTTTTTAGGTTTTTGTTCAGATAGTGTCAACATGTTAATCAATTGTTTGAAGCTCAAAATACATCATTAGACTAATCACTAGATTATTTCTACATGTATTAATCAAATGTAATTAGCATTAAAGTTCTTTTAGTTAAAATATCGTTTAAAGCTTGTTTGACATAGGTTGATTATAGTTACATGTATGTAATGCCTAGGATGAAGAACTCCGTGTCCTTGTGCTGAGTGCTCTTCTGCACAAGATTTTGCAGTAAGCCCCTCAATACACAGGGACCCCAAACAACTTCTCTCTTCAGACTGTTCCAACGCCATTGGAAACTCCTGGAGACACCTAGCAGTATCATCCAAAGTCCCCCAGGAGGAACACTCATCTCAAGCCAAGTCATAAATATATAATAAAACATTAACATAAGTTTATTATGCATTGGTCAGGTTACAGAAAGACACGTCCCCCAAGTCCAATCCAAAAGAAAGAGAAGTAAATGAAAACAATGTACAAACTGAGAACCTTAAACCCAGTGATTATGCAAAGAAAAAACCTTATAAAATGTGGTCCACTTTGCTCTAAAAGGGAAAAATTCCTTCTGGATCTTTTATGACAATCGGATTAAAGAGGAGTTTCAGCCATTTTTGTGTTTATTAAAAGTCAGCAGCTTTTAATAAACACAACGGAAGGCCTCTTTCAAATGGGCGTTCCGGCCATTTTTCATCTGTCCATTTACGAATGAAAAATGGACACCCATGTATTTCTATGGACTAGTGGATGTAAACTGATGATCTTCTGTTTATATCCCTTAATATCCGTATCCATCAACATCAGTTTTTTTACAGAAGAAAACCCTATTTTTCTTCTGTAAAAAAAAGCAAAACATGGATGAAAACAGATGAAAATGAATGTAAAACGGATGTAAATGGATGAAAAACGAATAAAAAAACTGATATAAAAACAGATATAAACTTAACCATTTCTTCTTTGAAAAATCATGACTGAACTGATGAAAAAAATGAAACGCCCGTGTGAAAGGACCCAAACTGTAGCTGCTGACTTTTAATAAACACACACTTACCTGTCCTAGGGTCCAGCGGTGTACTCACCCACGCAGTCCCTTCTCTTCTTCTCAACTCCACGTCACCGACATCTCTACTGTGGGCACCAGGCTGTGACAACTTGTGGCTTCACAGCGGGGTGCCCACTGCGTATATGCGAGTCGCGCTGTGCCTCCTGATTGGTCCGGCAGTCTTCTAGGACGTGTGAAAGTTCCCAGGAGACTGCAGGAGGAAGGAGGGACCGAACTTCTGGCTCACCATGGTGAATTGAGCCGGAAATGGGAGCAGGTACCTGTCAAAAAACAGGTATCTGCTCCCCCCTCCCCCCAAAAAGGTGCCAAATATGGCAGTGGAGGGGGGGAAGAGACAAATAAGCAGAGCTTCCACATTTGAGTGGAACTTGCTTTAACAATCAACAGCTTATAAATATTAAAAGTCATTTCTAGGTCCAACCCTTTTTGAAGCAATCTCCTGAGTTAGCTAGAACTAATTTTATGTGAAAGACAATTTTTTTAGTTCTTACTGTAAAGAAAAGTTTCCTTTTGCAACAGTTAAAGGGCACTATCTTTTGTTAAAACCTTAAAGGGAACAACAACATGTAAATTTATTCACTTTAAGCTCATTGTAAATGAAAAGGAAAACTCTTTAGAAATGGTTGAAAAAAAAAGGTTTGATCTCTGCATATGGAAAGGATTCTTCACAGTAAGAGCTGTTTAACCACTTGCTGATGACGCTACAGCAAAATGATGGTGTCCAGTTCTGGGAGGGCATCTATTGATGTCCTCCCAGAACTGCATCCTCTGCAGCATGCACCCAGCTCTCTCTGTGATTGCTGTGTCCTTTAGACACAGTTGATCACAAGTCATGGTAAAGGGCCAATCACAGTGACCTTTTACCACGTGATCAGCTGTGTCCAATCACAGCTGATCATGCTGTAAACACACTTTCCTGTTATTGGCAGTACTTTCTTAATAATGTCATAGCTTAAGGAAAGTACTGCCAATACCTAGCAAGTGTGCAAGGGGACATCTACACCTATTATGAGTGCAGCCACAACAGTGCTCATCAGTGCTGCCTATCAATGCCAGTGATGATCCATCAGTGCTGCCAATCAGTGTGCAGCAGTGATGCCAGTCAGTGCCCATCAGTGATGCCAATCTGGGCCCATTAGTGCTGCCAGTCAGTGACCATCAGTGCTGCCAGTTAGTGGCACCTATTAATGCCCATCAGTGCCGCCGATCAGTGCACATCATTGCCATCTATCAGTGCCGCATACCAGTACCTCCTCAATAATGCCCACCAGTGCTGATTCATCAGTGCAGACTCAGTGCCCAGCAGTGCAGTTTATCAGTGCCCATCAGTGCTGCCTATCAGTGCTCATCAGTGCAGCCTCATCAACACACATCAGTGAAGGAGAAAAATTACCTGTTTGCAAAATTTTATAATAGAAACAAAGAAAAAATTAAGAAAAAAAAAAGTTTAGCCTTATGTTGTTTTGTTTAGCAAAAAAAGTAAAGCACCCAGAGGTGAAAAGCTGAAAATTGGCCTGGGCAGGAAGGGGGTAAAAGTGCACGGTAGGCAAGTTGTTAAACTTGGAATATACTTTGTCAGGAACCAATTCTAGCCAGTTGAGTAAATGGTTTATAAAAATGGATGTGTTTCTAAATGCACAAAATTTAGCTGGGTAATAATACATAGTAACACCTAAACACCATTTCTGTATTTTTAAACAAGTAAAAGCCCTTTAAGTCTCTTATTAAATTATGTGGGAGTTTTTTGCTCTTTTTCTATTTCCACAACATCCTTTTTTGAATTGATGGCCAAATCTGAACTGCATATTCAAAATTAGGTCTTATGAATTCTTTTTATAGCAACAGGAATATGAACTACATATTCAAAATGAGGTCTTACTAATTTTTTTTATAGCAACAGATTATGTCTTGCTCTCATAGGTCAATGAAGTTGATTTACAAGGAGATGAGAATTTTCACTCAATGAATTTTAGCTGGCTAGAAATTGCTTTTTATATTGGATAATTGAAGTGAATGTTCACTTAAATCATTGACTTTGTGTCATTTTACATTTTCTTTGCATTAGGTTCAACTTAAAATTCATACCAGACCTGAAGGGTTTTGTATAAGTTAGGGGGGAACCCCCATGGAGTTTTTTTTTTTTTTTTTCCTTTTTTGACTACCCCTTGCTCGTTTGCTTACATGGTCAGGAATCCCCACACATGTAAGTGAATAAGACCAGTGACATCAATGGTTGTTAAGGGTGCTGTCAGTTGGAACTGTCATATATAATAGCAGAATTAATCCTCCTGTTGTAAATAGCATTCAAACTTATGTTTTAATCAAACCTTAAGTTTATACGTATTCTCCATAATTGAAGAACCCATTTTTACAACCCCAAGTACATTTAACTGTACATTTATCAACAATATATTTTATTTGCCATGTAGTTGCTAAAACCAACAAAGCATTCAACTGCATCCTTATCAAATATCCAGGATAAAAAGATGCACGCATCAACACTCACTTTGATTGGTCAGTCATCCCCACCTATCAGGTATCTGTCACTAGTGAGAACGAAGTACAGGTGCAATGTATTTAATACTTTATATTTATCTTGAAATGTAATGGGCCCCTTACAAGTGATGGTGGGGTCATGCCAGGGGAACCTCTCTAGATGAGGCAAAGAGGGGAATTAATGGTGTTGTAGACACCTTTAGAATTCTGTTGGGTCCCACACCAAAAGTGTCAGTGCCATGACCTGATTCATGTAGCTGTCAGAGCACGCTACATGAATAAGTCAGAGCCTGGCACTCAGATTTGGATGCCCATATTGGACGTTCCTTCCTCAATATGCTCCCCACCCCCCGCCCTGACCACTGCACCCCTCACACTGAAAGACTTTTGGCCATGGAGCTTTTCACTGAGGTGGGTGGAGTCTGAGAAACTAGTTCCCATCAGGTCCATATTACTTTAATTCACAGTGCACAGCAGAAGTTAGATTATAGCCGCTATTCAGTACAGTATGGTAGACCTAGTGGGGACCTAGTTCCTCAGTTCTCCATCAGTGATATCACCACTATCCCTAGCCCCTTTGTTTAAATGAATATATTTCTGTTGGGGAATCTCCCGGTGAACAACTGGTCAGGAACACAGCACTGTCCAAGAAGCTTTCATGAGAGCTACCAGCACAGCCATGCCCCTCTCTAAGTACTGCCGTATATGCCAACTCAGAACTGGTTCTAGTTACTGCCAGATTCTAAAACTTCCAACTGGTGGTAAATCATTAAGACACTGTCATTGCCAAAGTAATGCTACTGAAACTGGCACAAATGCTCACCTGAATTAGATGCAGGTAGTTCTAAAGTAAAAAGTGTTCAAAGAGCTTTATTAAATTCCCCAAAAGTGTAACAAGATGTTCCTCAAGGATTTAGCAAAGTTAAAAGTCAGGCGAAGGTGAAGAAATCACCTGCTAACCTCATGTGTATGCAGTTAGCCTATCATAAACTGGGCTGTCATTGGTAGCTTTAAAGGTTACAAGAGGGTCTGTTCTGGGCCTATGATTAGAATATACACTGCATGAAGAAGTCTGTGTTCCATCAAAAGGACTGTTCTACAGTTGCTGGAAGAAACAACATAGTGCCATCTCAGTGCAGCCATTTAGGCAATAAAAGACACTGCTACTTCAAGTTACGGAGAAGATGTTCTTCTGAGTGTTACATCAGGAAATGGAACTTCATTTCAGGGTCTAAAGACAGTTGGAAAGTATTCTGTGTGTCCTTGAGTATTGTTACCAGCTACATTTGAACTTTATTGTTGAGTAGTGACGAGTTCAGACACATTTGGGCTAGAATCCAAATCCACAAGTGCAAGCCTGCCTGGGAAGCTGTCACCTTTATGGGTCAATCATCTGTGGCCAGGGCATTCAATACAAGGTGGGGAATGATCTAGCCTCAGAGATGATTGGCCTGTACAGATAACAGCTTCCTGGTGGACTCCCATATTTGGGTTCGGTTCCTAGTCTGAACATGCCCAAGCTCATCACTACTCAACAGTAAAGTCCTGATGTTGCTGGCAACACTACTCAGGGAAACACAACAAGTTACAATTCACAATACAATACAAATGTCCTAAATAGCTGCCCTTAGTTTAACTGTTATTTACGTATGAGATTTATTATGCTTAGCTCTCTGGTGTCCCTCATTTGAAGGACTGTACGTCTTTTGACACCAAATCCCTCTTTCCTCCTTGCAGCTTCAATTGTCCCTCTTTTTGGTCTGATGTATACATTTCAATACAAAATGTACTATTTTACTATCAGAAGTGTTATATTGCACTAAACTTGTTATCCATCCTCTATATTACTACATTTGTTTTTTTTTTTTAAAGCTAATATAAAAGGTAAAATAGAGCTCAAAGAGCACTTCTGTTATTTAGTCAATAATTTTCTGTATGTTGGATCTTTGTGGCTTGTGTGACCAGGTGTGTTATTTATTTATTTTATTTATTACAGGTACTTATATAGTGCCGTCAATTTACACAGAGCTTTACATATGCATATTATATATTCACATCAGTTCTCAACCCTCAAGTAACATAAATCTAAGGTCCCTAACTCACATTCATTCATACATATACTAGGGCCAATTAATCTACCAGCATGTCTTTGGAGTGTGGGAGGAAACCCACGCAGGCACAGGGAGAACTTGCAAACTCTGTGCAGGTGGTATCATTGTTGGGATTTGAACCAACAACCCTAGTGTTGCCAGGTAGAAGTGCTAGCCACTTATGCACTGTGCTGCCCACTTAGTGTCCCTCTGTATTTTTCAGAAAGATGAGAGGTATGTACTATGGATGTATTTGGTTGTATGGTTGTATTTTGGACATCACTCAGTGCCCAAGGCTAGCAAACTATAGCTGATGATATACAAGCAACTCTGTCATAGACAATCTGTCTAAAATTCCAATGGCAGGATCAATAAGAGTCTGCTGTTTGTCTCTATGGAGTTGCTTCTATTGTAGCTGAGGCAGGTAGTTCCCATCTCTAGTGGCATCTTGCTGCACGTGGCTACAGAGGGTCTGATTGCAAAGAAACACAAAAGCAGCATTTTTATCAATCCTGCTGCTGGCGATATGTCTCTAGTGGCAGAATTAGCCACTTGCCATCAGCCTAAAAGAGAAAGCAACAAAGCAACAAAGCACTGTGTTTATGTTCCTATTTTATTTATTTTTAGGATTCTTGTGGGTTTTTTTTTCTTTTAAACAAAATGAATAACAAGATAGTGTAATGGCTACTAAATAGGGATGAAAGGAGTGGAGTTTGCAATAAGGGGCAGCATGATTCATCTATGTCTAGGATGGCATGACCTTCAAATGCAGCCCTAACTAAACAGTGTATTGGAATAATAGCTATATGATAGTCTTTAATAGATCAAAAAGACTATCCATTGAATGCAGGTTAAAAATCAATAATGATAGTTATATACTAGTAAACAGTCCTCAAAGTAAAGTTAAAAAACACACTGATTTGCTATGCTGTGTTCCATTTCCTTGTCATTGTGGCTGTTGCGAGGAAATAAATAGCATGTTGCTCAGTAGGGGAAGCAGTTGTCAAACAGAGTCTGGGCTAAAATCAATCTAAGCAGAATAGGAAAGCTAGCTAGAAAACACTTGTTAGAAGACTTTAATTAAAATGCCAACAAAGCCTGGCTTCGGATAACAGATGAAATAGATTATGAAGGTTACAAAGAACTTGGAACATATTTTGCCTTCTCAAGCCCATTGAATGCCAGTAGAGCAGTGACCTGATTCATTGAAAAGCATTCAATTTATTCAAAGTGTATCCTACTAAAAGTAGAAATTTTAGAACTTTTTGTCGCACAAATAAATGTTTATTTGACTCCAAACTGAAGAGTGAAAGATGACCCTATATTTAGGAAGTCCTCTGACAAAATATGAAGAACACATCACCCTGGCATATCAGATGATGAGCCCATAACTGGTACTTAGAATGGAGTTGGAGTGTGTCTAACTTTAATGAAAACTCGTTCTGAAAATCAGATCACATTTCCCTAATTCAGCCATTGCCAACTCTGCCAGACGACCAATGTGGCAACATGTCTATAAAGGAAGGACATTCTGATTCATTATACTAATGATCTGGAGCATTCTGCAAATGAAAATCCATGCCTTATAAGTTTACTTGGTTGGGTCGATGAAAGACTTTTGCTTTTGAACTGAAAAAGGATATTCAGAGGATTTCATGGCTCAATAGTTTTGCTAACCCCAGAACTAAAAGACACACACCACAACTAATTTGTGTTTTATTATTGCAAATTGACAGTGACTCCAAATAAGCTATTTAAAGG